CAACGTGGTAGATTTCAAAGGACTGGCGACAGATATCAGGCAATATACAGAAGAGTTGGCGGACTGTATATTATTAGAATGTCAGAAAGCCTTCAACCAAGTATCCTACAGGAGGATCGGACACGCAAGGATGTATCAGGCAAAAGTGGGTAAGTGGATAAAAGTGGATTTATTTCAGGGGATACGGGAGTAATTATGCAACAGACGACAACGATTCACAGTGGAAGGAGAGATCTCCATATGTCGGGATGTCACCAGAGGTGTCCCGTGTGGACCAACCCTTCACCAAACACACGTAAACGACCATACAGAAGAGACGGACTTCTTCCTCTCAAGGTTCACTGATAATAAAATACAGTTTATGAGGAAGAATACAATGGAAGACTGCAAAAAACTGCAGGACGTCATAGATACAATTAAAGTGTGGTCGCTCTACAAGGTGGGACACGACGGTAAATGGAACAATCTACAAGGTGAGACACAACCGTAAATGGAACAATCTACAAGGTGGGACACAGCCGTAAATGGAACAATCTACAAGGTGGGACAACTGTAAATGGAACAATCTACAAGGTGGGACACAACCGTAAATGGAACAATCTACAAGGTGGGACACAACCGTAAATGGAACAATCTACAAGGTGGGACAACTGTAAATGGCACAATCTACAAGGAGAGACACAACCGTAAATGGCACAATCTACAAGGAGAGACACAACCGTAAATGGCACAATCTACAAGGTGGGACACAACTGTAAATGGGACAATGCTGCTCAGAAAAAAAGGAGCAAGGCATTGTTCCCATAAGTACAGTGGCGGAGCGCTCTCACTCTCGCGCTCTTTTCGGGTCTTACTCCCACTCCCTCAGTGCCACTGTTCACTTAGGGGGAGCACCTTTGTCTCTCACAGGGAAGAGTACCTCGAACCCGGTCTTGCCCCCACGTCAAGTACGGTAAGCCGGCCGTTTCCTGGATCCTCCACGGGTGTGTCCACGGACACTAAGGCCAGGTTCCCCAGCTACCGGCCTGCCCGCCACAAAACTTATAACAGCCTATGGTCGCCAATCTGACCAGAGCTCCAGTTAAGGCTAGATCATTATCTCTACGTACAGTGGTACACTGTTCTTGTCTGCTACTTCCTTACTTGTGTTCAGTGCTCAGTCTAACCCAAAGTAAACGTATAGAGAATGAAAGAGTGAAACAAAACACCATAATAAAATCATGAACCGTTTTCTAGGATTAGGAGTACAAATCTTAAGGCCCGAAAATAACTAAAATGTTTCTATATGGCAACACTCCTCAGTAAACGTCCTTAATAATAAGGCAACATCCAACTGTATTACTCACCAGAATTCACTAGGTTATCACTCCCTTTTAAATGTTTTATCGCACAAAAGGTCACTTATAATTTCACTTACGTATTTTTTACATCATCTTCTCAATAACAATATACAGGAAATCTGAATCCTAAGAATTAAAGAATAACATATTAATTTCATACTTAGTCCGAAACTATCATAATCTGTGCGCTTCTCATCACAACAAATATCTCCTCATACACTTACATAATTAATATACACTTCCTATCAACAAGGGGAAAGGAGCATGGAAAATTAATCTACCTTAAATTGGAAGCACGGAAGCTGTAGTCTTTGCAGCCCATAGCAGTGGGTTGATGATCCCTCCGCATAGATAAGGCAGGTCTCCTCTTCAAATTTCCACTCCTCTTCAGCGCCTCTGTAGGTCTCCTCCCAACCACTAAGTTCCACCGTTGATTACACTATAAAGCAGGAAACGTAGCCCAAACCTCCATTAGTCTCTTAAACTGGTTACGGACCCGCTTCTTTTCTGCAGAAGAGACCGGTAGAATAATTGCTCCTCACACAGGGTTCTTAATGCTGCTATACTCGGACCAGGACTTGCCACCTGAGCCTCCCTACGCAGCAGTTCCGAGCTGCCCACGTGTTGAATCCCAAGCGAATTATCGAGACAAACTGGAGCTCCGACGTCGCTGAGCCTCTTGTGATCTATCAAAGTCTAGTTCCTCTACTCTTCCACAGACGTCGACAGTAGTTCATCTTTGCCTCTCGAGTACTGTTTGGGATTACGTCCACCTGGAGGATTAATCCTCACCAAAATGAGACTATCGATCGATATAACTTGTCACTTTCTCTCCCGCTGACATCACGCCCAGGGTGCTTTATGATTGATCAGCCTGTACAGGCCCCTGCATCTGACCAATCATATACCTTGCAACTAGGCGCCACGACGCCTCCGGAGTATCTTGGCGGGAAAATTTACTTTCTCCTGAGCTGATCCGCCATTGTATGGTAGCGCCTCTCTCTCACCTCCTCCCACTTGAACTTAAATCATAAATATCTTCATCCTTAAGCATCTCACCTCCTTTTAAGTGTTATCAAATGATACTAGGCTTCTCCTAGACTATTCACAAAGGAGTATTTACAAAGGAAAGGAGCACAACAACCAGACTCCGCAAACGAACCCATGAGTTGAGGTGTGTGTGGCCGCTATGCCACCTAGTCGGAACCATTTCCCCACCGTGTATTACTGTAGAATGGAACAATCCATTAATTTTCAGATCCTTAATGTATAATAAATAAGACGCTATTGATCGTTATTGACGCTACTGACGCTATTAATAATAAAACACGCTATTGATCCCCGGTTGGAGGAAGTGTGTGAGGAAATTGAATTCATCACTGCTGAATGCATGAATAGTCCAAATTTGGTTACGGTGTGGCAGGATGGAGACATTTTTTATGTCAAGAACTGCTAGCATCAGGAAGAAGGAAGGCCCAAGGATAGGACACCTTCAAGATTGCAGTCTGTTACCAGTGACTCTAATCTAATAACCTTGCCAATGGCCGCAGATTGCAGAATGAATGACTGCTTAGAAATCAGAATAAGAAATCCCTTTTATGGAAATGGAACAAGTACCAATGGCCTTCTTAGCAACAGCATCGATAAGTTAATTTCAGGTAACACCAATAAGGCTCAGTACACAGCTAGAAATAAGAAACAACCAGTAATAGGATTTCGACCACCGCAAGGTGCAAAAGGTTAAAGGACTCCAGAGCCGTGAAAGCACTGCAAGAATCAACCACAATGATAAATAAATGTTGATTCCTAAGAAGCAACCTAAGAAAAAATTGCATAAAAGTTCTGAAGTGACGATGATAGTGTCCAAGGGCAGGCAGCACCTGCAAGTTTGACCAGGACAAATAGCACAGTAGCCAACTCCTTCGGCAGATGTAGACCCTTTAACAACATCAATGAAATACATATCAGAGGAAAAAATATTCAATGAAAATGCATTTCATAGCTGTATGAATGGTCAGGGCATTTCATAGCTGTATGAATGGTCAGGGCATTTCATAGCTGTATGAATGGTCAGGGCATTTCATAGCTGTATGAATGGTCAGGGCATTTCATAGCCGTATGAATGGTCAGGGCATTTCATAGCTGTATGAATGGTCAGGGCATTTCATAGCTGTATGAATGGTCAGGGCATTTCATAGCTGTATGAATGGTCAGGGCATTTCATAGCTGTATGAATGGTCAGGGCATTTCATAGCTGTATGAATGGTCAGGGCATTTCATAGCTGTATGAATGGTCAGGGCATTTCATAGCTGTATGAATGGTCAGGGCATTTCATAGCTGTATGAATAGTCAGGGCATTTCATAGCTGTATGAATGGTCAGGGCATTTCATAGCTGTATGAATGGTCAGGGCATTTCATAGCTGTATGAATGGTCAGGGCATTTCATAGCTGTATGAATGGTCAGGGCATTTCATAGCTGTATGAATGGTCAGGGCATTTCATAGCTGTATGAATGGTCAGGGCATTTCATAGCTGTATGAATGGTCAGGGCATTTCATAGCTGTATGAATGGTCAGGGCATTTCATAGCTGTATGAATGGTCAGGGCATTTTAAACTTTCACAATAAAAGGCATGGAAGAAACAACATAAAGAAAGAAATATCTCAAACATTAATCGAGAAAGAATCTTGCAAACAAAGTTATCAGTCACCGTGGTGTAGTGGTAAGACACTCGCCTGGCGTTCCGCGAGCGCTTTGTCATGGGTTCGTATCCTGGCCGGGGAGGATTTACTGGGCTCAAATCCTTAACTGTAGCCTCTGTTTAACTCAACAGTATAATGAGTACTTGGTTGTAAAAACGATTCTTCGCGGCGGGGGTCGTATTCCAGGGACCTGCCCGAAACGCTACGCGTACTAGTGGCTGTACAAGAATGTAACAACTCTTGTATATATCTAAAAAAAAAAAAAAGCCATCCTTGCAGTAACAGCAAGGAAAAGAGCATCAAGACGACGAAACGGTGGAGAATGAGGCAGAGACCGGATAGTCATGCTCGAGGACAGACATCACAAGAAAGGAGTACACACAGGAGTGTGCCTTTATCAACTCCCCAGAAAGATGGAACAAGATTAAGAAAGCTGAAGGCATTACAGTATTTAATTCGGAGGTGAGAGACATGAGATGACCAAGACCAACTGCTCTCCAAGATCAACCTCCAAGAGCTTAGCATTTTCCTTATACAGAAGGTGATTTCCACAGAGGGACGATGGGAAGGACATACATCCGAGTAAAAGTCATAGTACAGGTCTTAATCGGGAGAACTTGGAGCCAAGATTGATGCCCAAGGACGACACGCTATTGATCTCAAGTTGGAGCTAGTGTTGGAGGAAATAGAATTCATCACCGCGCAACCCGTGACTTCGAATAATTCATCGCATTTTGACATATAACTTTACTAAAGACAAAAACTGATGCTCTCCAAATTGTAGCAGCTCACAAAAATTACGTGACGTCCCGTTTTTTATTCATGGGTGCTTGGTTACGTTAGCTTGGGGCGCTTGATGTAGATGCTAGACTCGTGTATTTAAACATGGGATAACAAGAACATGAATTCTAAGTCTGTAAATGAGAGTTAATGTAATTTTTCTCCCTTACACCCAGGTGACGCTCCAGCAGCGATGCAAGTATCGGGGACAAGTCGCCGGGGTCCAGACCAGCTGCTGCGACTGTTGCTGGTGGTGGTGGTGGTGCTGTGGGGGACCACCACCACTGTCCTCCCCCACCACATGTTGTGATAGACATGTGGGTGAGTGCGGTGGCACAGGACGGGACAGCTTCTCCTTGATCCACAACTGGCTAGTGTACAGTAGCTTTTAGAGACACTTGTTGTGAAAATCAATTTTCCGTGTATATACTGAGGATTCGGGACAGACATTGGAGTCAGTGTATATAGTACATATCACATCTATAACTACTAGCATCCTAAACTTGTGTAAATAGAGTGAGATATATATAAAGCCAAATTCACACAATGTACAAAAGTTCTTCAATAGAAGAGTAGAGAAACTACCAAAGAAAATAATGTAAACTAGCATATGTAATTAGGAATAGTAAAATATCAAAAAGGTAAACTTGCAAAATGTAATTATTGAACAACTGTATGAATAGTCCAAATGTGGTTATGTTGTGACAGGATGGAGACATTGTTTATGTCAAGACCTTAATTGAAAGAAAACGCAAGTGTAATGGTATATAATTAATGTGATAAATACCCAATAATACATGTATATGGTTCCTGCAGGGCATAGGTCTCCAATCTTTTAAAATTTCAAAGCCTCAGTCATATTGATGCAGCATTGTTCAAGTTAGCTTGGGAGTGTTCAGTATGAACACCCTGACAAGGGCATGCGAGGATCAAACAGCTGTCATCAATTGTAAAGACCTAATGAACGAGTACGGAATCAGTGAACAAACGCGGGCACTATAGTAACGTGATTGGCGAGATACGGGATGTAATTGTGTTGATTAGGATTAATGGTGGTCCTTAATCTACTTGATAACAATGAAGTGATCGCAATGTCTCCCCCTATGATGTTTTCTTTATATAAACAACTTTGGTGTCAATCAATTTTGGCTCAGTTCTTTAACGCGAAGAACATTGTTTTATCGGTAACTTCCATGATTATCAGGACTATGTTAACCATTGCTCCTTTGGCCATCACTGGCTCATCACTACAACAATCTACTGTGTTACTCTGACCTATATTTTCTGGATCACGTAGTGATGGTCATTATTTTGTCTACTGTGACCTTTACTGTGATGGTAAATACTACGGCGGCCGCTGTTGTATAAGCCATCACTGTCCTGGCCACTGTTATCTCAACTACTGCTGTATTGACATCTTGCAATGAGAGTGACATCATCTATTTGATCATTCATCACGCCCTCGAATTTGACTTAAATTTAGCTACTGGTAGAATATATTAGTATCAGCAATGTTTACCTCGAGCACCGCTGCGATGTCCACCATTATATAGATCAACACTATTGAGTCAACAGTATAGATTACTATTTAGTAACTGTTACTCCGTCGATCAATGCTGAAGAGACCATTGTCTCTCTGACCACTGTTTCCTTGGTCTCTGTTGTAATGAATACTTAAATGGCAGCCACTGTTTCCTTGGTCTCTGTTGTAATGAATACTTAAATGGCAGCCACTGTTTCTCATAGACGCTGTTGTGTCAAGCAGAACTGCAACGACAGTAGCTAGTTCCGATACACTTCTTATGAGAAAATTCACAGGAGCCGTAATGGGGATTCGAACCTATGCACTGGGTGTTTCCAGGAGCAGAGGTTCGAATCCTTATCACGGCTGCTACGAATTTTCTCACTGATGCATCACGTTAGTGTGATTATTCTCTGTGTATCACTTATTATCTTCCGCAGCAGAGAACAGCACCCTGCCATCGTCTCATTAATCTTGACCACCTGTGTTCACCTAGTTGTGCTTGTGAGGGTTGAGCTCTGGCTCTTCGGTCCCGCCTCTCAACTGTCAATCAACTGGTGTACAGGTTCCTAAGCCTACTGGGCTTTATCATATCTACATTTGAAACTGTCTATGGAGTCTGCCTCTACCACATCACTGCCTAATGCAACCCATCTGTTAACTACTCTGACACTGAGAAAGTTCATTCTAACGTCCCTGTGGCTCATTTGGGTACTCAGTTTCCACATGTTGCCTGTGCGCGAAGCACCTGGTTAGGGCAAGTAGTTCGAGAAAGAACCGGACAGAAGGAGTAAATCCATTTTGCCGCTCGTTAATAAGGAGAGTGTATGTGGAGTGTGACTTCCCGAGCCCATCGTCGCCCTCAAGATAATGTCAGTCTTCAGAGTATCGAGATCGTATATAAGGAAGAGTTTACCTGGGAATATCTCATCATCCTGAATGTGTTGTACGTGATCATGTGTACCTGACGCTTTAAACTGAGTGACAAGACTCAATAATTATATTAATAATAATTATATAAGAAGTCATGTTTGAAGATATTAGTAATATATCTGCATCCCTGTTAATTAATCTCTTTCTACCTTTTTCTCAGACTTTATGTATCTATCTCTTTCTTTAACATATCTCTAGACGGTTTCAGAGGATTATCTATCTTCTTGCTGTCCAGGAAACTGGTCCACGTCTGATGAGGTGAATCTGGACAATGGTAGCGTCTTGACTACTAATGTACTATTGATAAGCTACTTTTGGAAGTCTTATACCTCTTCCAGAAGTCTGGCATAGGACGGGAGACAAGACAGACACGGTAGTGGTAAATACTCGAATTGGATCGTCTTGTGGATCATAAGCAGATTCGCAAGTCGAAGCCTCGAAACAAATCCTCCTTAATTCTTTAGTTTTTTGGTGGTTTAGCAGGAGAATAGCTAAAGAGAGTTCTGTCTGAATCCACGTCACATGCAACACATTAATAAACTTAATATTTTCTAAGTCAAAAACTTGACACGTGTCAATTAGAGACTTTTACACGGATTCCCGTAGCTGAACCTAAGCTTTTGCCATCACAAAACACACACACGCGCGCACACACACACACACACACACACATCTGTGTGTGTGTGTGTGTGTATTACTCCGAGTGTGTACATACAAATCGGTTCTATTGACCAACTAACAAAAATAAGGCAAGAAAGAGAAGGGTGGGCAGATTGCATTTTTTTGGACTGTCAGAAAGCCTTTGACACAGTACCCCATAAAAGACTGTTTCAAAAGTTAGAGGAACAGGCAGGAGTAAAAGGTAAGGTGCTCCAGTGGATAAGGGAGTATCTAAGCAACAGGAAACATTGAGTAACTCTGAGGGGAGAGGCATCAGAGTGGCGAGATGTCACCAGCGGAGTCCCACAGCGCTCTGTACTTGGACCCATTATGTTTCTAATATATGTAAATGATCTTCCAAAGGGTATAGACTCATTCCTCTCAATGTTTGCTAATGATGCAAAAATTAAGAGAAGAATCAGAACAGATGAAGATAGACAGAGACTACAGGATGACCTGGACCAACTGGAGGAATGGTCTAGAAAAGGGCTGCTAAAGTTCAACTCAGGAAAGTATAAAGTAATGAAATTAGGCGAAGGGTGCAGAAGACTGAACACAAGGTACCATCTGGGAGGTGAAATTCTGCAAGAGTCAAACAGAGAGAAAGATCTGGGGGTTGCTATCACACAGCACCTGACCCCAGAGGCTCACATCAAAAGATAACATCAGCCGCATATGCTAGGTTGGCCAACATAAGAACTGCCTTTAGCAACTAGTGTAAGGAATCGTTCAGGACACTGTATACCACTTATGCCAGACTAATCCTGGAATATGCAGCTCCTGGCTGGAGTCCGTATCTAGTTAAACACAAGACAAAGTTAGAGAAGATGCAGCGGTATGCCACCATACTTGTCCCGGAACTGAGAGGTATGAGCTACGAGGAAAGGTAAAAGGAGCTAAACCTCACGTCCCTGGAAAACAGAAGAGTACGGGGAGACATGATAACCACCTACAAAATTCTCAGGGGAATTGACAGGGTGTACAGAGACAAACTCTTCAGCACGGGTGAAACACGAACAAGGAGACACAGGTGGAAACTTAGTAGCCAGATGAGCCACAGAGACGTTAGAAGAACTTTTTTTAGTGTCAGAGTAGTTAGTAAATGGAATGCACTAGGAAGTAATGTGGCGGAGGCTGACTCCATACACAGTTTCAAATGTAGATATGATAGAACCCAGTAGACTCGGAAATCTGTATACCAGTTGATTGACAGTTGAGAGGCGAGACCAAAGAGTTTGAGCTCAACCCCCGCAAGCACAAACAGGTTAGTACAAATAGGTGAGTTCATAGGTAGGGGGTGGGCCTCGCGGCTGAGTGAACAGCACTCGGGGGTCGTGTGCTGTCTACGGTCGGAAGTCTACAAGATGACCTAGACAGACTGAAGCAGTCCAACAAATGGCTGCTAAAGTTCAACCCGAGTAAATGCAAAGTAAAGAAACTAGGCGGTGGAAACAGGAAGCCAGACACAGGATACATAATAGGAGATGAAGTACTTAATGAAACGAACAGAGAGAAAGATTTAGGAGTTGATATCACACCAGACCTATCTCCTGTAGCCCACATAAAAAGGAATACGCCTGCAGCATATGCGAGGCTGGCTAACATCAGAACAGCGTTCAGGAACCTGAGTAAGGAATCATTCAGAATCTTGTGTACCACATATGTAAGACCAATCCTGGAGTATGCGGCCCCAGCATGGAGCCCGTACCTTGTCAAGCACAAGACGAAGCTGGAAAAAGTTCAAAGGTATGCCACTAGACTAGTCCCAGAACTAAGAGGCATGAGTTACGAGGAAAGGCTGCGGGAAATTGCACCTTACGAAACTGAAAGACAGAAGAGTAAGGAGAGACATGATCACTACCTACAAAATCCTGAGGGGAATTGACAGGGTAGACAAGGATAAACTATTCAACACTGGTGGTACGCGAACGAGGGGACACAGGTGGAAACTGAGTACCCAAATGAGCCACAGGGACGTTAGAAAGAACTTTTTCAGTGTCAGAGTAGTTAGCAGGTGGAATGCATTGGGCTGTGATGTGGTGGAGGCTGACTCCATACACAGTTTCAAATGTAGATAAGATAGAGCCCAGTAGGTTCAGGAATCTGTACACCAGTTGATTGACGGTTGAGAGGCAGGACCAAAGAGCCAAAGCTCAACCCCCGCAAGCACAAATAGGCGAGTACACAGGTAGGGTCTGGGCCTCGCGGCTGAGTGGACAGCACTCGGGGGTCGTAGTTCGAATGGCCCGGATTCGATTCCCGGCGGAGGCGGAAACAAATTGGCAGAGTTTATTTCACCCTGATGCACCTGTTCACCTAGCAGTAACTAGGTACCTGGGAGTTAGCAAGCTGCTTCCTGGGGATGTGTGTGTAGGTGCATGTGTGTGTAAGAGAAATATATGTAGCAGACATAATAGAGGAAACAGATTGGCTAGAAAGGCGGGGTCCAAGAGGCTCTATCAACTGCATTATGAGGAGTCTTAGTAGGGAAAGATTCCAGAAGCAACTAACCGCTGGCCAACAGGAATTTCCAACTTTCCCTAATCACTACTAAAGCTCAGAGGAATTAATGATCCACGTCTACGTCATATAAATTGTCATCTACACTTCCGGGAATATATATATATTTAATACCACCGTACTGCGGTTAACAATTTAAATGTATAATATGTATACCATCTTGAGTGGTAGAAGCCCGTGTACACCTTTTCAGTCCACACAGAATTGCAACGATTTGTATAATTTCTTACGAATAAACATTAGAGCGAAATATAAATCCAAAATTATGCGAGATAAAGCAAAACAAAACAAAACAGGAAACGATGAACCCACTTCGGAGGAACGAGAAACAGACGATACAATATTGGGTACAGTAATGAGGAACTTTCTGATACAGTTTGTTGCTTTGAAACTATAAGAAGTAGTGAAGACTTTTCTGCAATAATGGCTCTGGTGTTCACACAAGTTGGGAATTTTGAAGATAAATTTTGAAGATTTTTGAAGATTTTGAAGATAAATTTTGAAGATATGTTTCATGAAATATCACAAGGGGGAAAGCAGCTATTTCTTGCATTATTAATTCTGTTTAATGCATTTATTTATTTAAGACGTTGAGGGGAGGCGGGTGCAGGCACAAGGTCACCATAAAACTAAGGTCAATTTAATTAGGGTAAATTAGGGTATTAAAAAATAAGAGTAGAGTAAAATTTGGGTAAATAAAAATTAAGGTAAATTTTTTTATCCCTAGATGGAATAAATTTGCAATTGAGTTCACGGTTGAACAAAACAGAACTTGATATATAACAATACCAGAATATTTCCAGAACATGGCCATGGATAAAAAAGTTTAGACTCGTTTCAACAACCTAAATTTGAAATATATATATATTGAAGATATGTTGCACGAATATATATATATATATATATATATATATATATATATATATATATATATATATATATATATATATATATATATATATATATATATATACAACGGAAGGGAGTACCACCTCTAGCTGGAAGAAGGGGGACCCATAGCCTCGGAGGAAACCACGCATAACGCATTAGAGGATATATATATATATACATTATATATATATATGTCGTACCTAGTAGCCAGAACGCACTTCTCATCCTACTATCCAAGGCCTGATTTGCCTAATAAGCCAAGTTTTCATGAATTAATTGTTTTTCGACTACCTAACCTACCTAACCTAACCTAACCTAACCTAACTTTTTCGGCTACCTAACCCAACCTAACCGATAGAGATAGGAGAGGTTAGGTTAGGTAGGGTTGGTTAGGTTCGGTCATATATCTACGTTAATTTTAACTCCAATAAAAAAAGTGACCTAATACATAATGAAATGAGTAGCTTTATCATTTCTAAAGAAAAAAAATTGAGAAAATATATTAATTCAGGAAAACTTGGTTTATTAGGCAAATCGGGCCTTGCATAGTTGGATGAGAAGTGCGTT